CTCGAAGATCCGCTATACAGTTTTTCTCTCTCTCTCTCTCTTTTTCTCTCTCTCTCTCTCTCTCTCTCTCTCTCTCTCTCTCTCTCTCTCTCTCTCTCTCTCTCTCTCCTCGTGGCATATTATGTAAACCGGGCCTATATACTTTTATTATATTACGTGTTACACACCTTTTACGACCGATCATTATGAATAAGATACGGACAACGATGGCCGGCCTTTTTACACGAAATTATTTTCATTCTAGAACTGGGAGGGGGTGGGAATAAGGGGGCACAGATGGCGCTGTAGAGAAAAATTTATATGGCGGTCTTTTTTCAAAACTTCATTTCGAAAATCCAAACAACCGAATCTACCGTTAATATCATCGTAATAAAGTTTTAATTTTTATTTTGAATCAAAAGAAAATTATATGGGAATTAGTCGTCGTCGTCCATCATCATTATCATCATCATCGTCGTCGTTATCGTCGTCGTCATCGTCGTGGTCGTCGTCGTCGTCGTTGTCGTTGTAATTTCGATAAAATGTAACTGTAACTGCCTTGGTACCGTAAATCGCACATTATACTATGAAGCAAGTACTATTTCTAACAAACGGCGCTATAATTAGAGCATATCGTAGACGTTGAATAAAAATAAAAAGAGAGAGAGAGAGAGAGAGAGAAAATATAATATTAATCTTAGATTAATATATATATTTAAAAGAAACAAATTTATTGTAAATATGATACAGTTTTGTATGAGAAAAAAAAAAAAAATAGAAGAAAAAGATGCACAAAAGAACTCCAAAGTTCTGATTTGAAATTCAATGGTGGTGACAAATCGATCGAATTAAATGAATGGCAAAATATAAAATCGGTAGAAAGTGTGTTGCGAGCGTACGCAAAAATCGAGTAAATGTTCCGGTGATACTTTCGGCGCGACAAAATAATGCAAGGCATGTTATACTTGGATAGCAACAACGATGCCGACGACGACAAACAACGACGATGACGATGACGTCGATGACAATGACCACAAAGACGACAAGGACGTGCGTGTGTATGCATGCAAAAAAAAAAAAAAATATTCACGTTTCATTAATTTTTAATTTTACATATAGAAAACGATACTTGAAAATTGAAGAAAAAAGAAAAAAAAATGAATACGAAAAATACTTTGTCCTAATTGAAATAGCTCATACAATTAAAGCTCATTGTATTATTTAATTAAATTATTAATTATAATAATATTGGAATTTATACAAAGGGAATTTACTTGATTAAAAATTATTATCAAAATATCATTTTAATTATACGATATAAATTTATCGTAATACGTATTATATTTAGTAGTAGTAATAACGACAACAACAATAACGACAATAACAACCACATCATCAACAACAACAACATCATTAACAATAATAACAGTATCATAAACAACGATAACAACAACAACAACACAACGAAATAACAATGACTACATTTAAAATTAATTTGTCACGATTCAAAACATATAGACATCTCCCGTTATCGTACAGCATCTTTTTTCAACCAATAAGGATGTTGCATTGTTGTAACTAGCACAAATACCCTATGCGTTACGCACGCTCTCTCTTTATCCATCTCAATCCATAATTGAACGATTATAGAAACGATTGACATACTCGTCGATCAATTAAATTAATTTTATTCATTTAGCAGAAATCCCGTATAGTTGGTTTCTCTCTTTTTTTATTTTCCTTTTTTTTTATTTTTTTATTTATTTATTTTCTTTTTCCTTTTTACAACATATCATTTATGAGTCATCAGCATCATTTGAATTTTCCCGCCGTTATCAATGTGTCGCTGAATAAATTGAACGAGAAAAAAAAAACGAAGTAAAAAAAAGCGAGGTAAAAATAAAATGTGTCATTGAAGAAATTGATAGCATTAATATTTCGATTAATTATTATCATTTTTTTTTCTTTGTTTTCTTTTTTCTTGTTGTTGATCATTTCCACAAAATCTTTTCGAATATATTATTCTATTTGAATAAATATATTTTCCCGTCTGTTATATCGATTTATTAACTTCTTCCTTCTCTTTACATCGTAAAGAATCGCGCAATAAATTCGAAACTATGTAAATAATTATTATAAAAAAAGAAAGAGAGAAAAAAATACTATAATTATTGTTTCTCATTCGACGTCCAATGAAGAACAATATTTCCTAACCTATAAATAAATATATTTAACATTGAAAGATGAACGAAACATATTCAATATTAATTTCAATCGATGTCTTTTTCGACGAGAAAGGAGAAAGAGAAAGAAAAAAATGAAAGAGAGCGAGAGAGCGAGAGAGAGAGAGAGAAACAGAAAGAAAGAAAGAGAGAAACAGAGAGAAAAATTATAAGCGCGATAAATTGTAAATGACGAAATGATTATTGTTAAGAAATCTGAATTATTATGAAATAAATTTATAATGGAAATAGAAGAAAAAGTTACTGTTTTTGCAATGTAGGAGAGAGAATTGTCGATG